AAACAGCAATGCTGCGAGGTCCTCACCACCTCCCAGAATCAAAGGCCAAGGCTCTGGTTCAGCAGGTCCCTCCACAGAGGCAGACTGACTGATGACTCACCCATGGGGGTTATTGGTGGGCCAGTAGGGTGAGAGATATTTGTTAATCGTTCCCCTGCCTCTGGGTGGGGGGGGGGGGGGGGGGGGGAGGGCCACAGCCAGGAATCTCCCCAGGTGGCTGTGAAAGCGGCCCGAAGACTATGGACCAAAGAGCGAGGCTGCCACCTAATGGAGAAATCAGATATAATGGCTCACTGGTTGAGGGCCTGCTGTATACCAGGTGATGTTTTATTGGGTTCTCACAACAGCTGTGTGAGAGAGGTGGAGACAAGGGCCCCGAGACACAAAAAGATGAAGCCACGTGCGCAAGGCCCCAGTAGGGCAGGGTTTGAGCCTGGATTTGCACCTGTCTGGCCCGCAAGAGAGCCCCGGGCTTCCCTCTACATTCTCACGCTGGTCCAAGAGGAAGAGGACCCCTGGACTGGGCCGCTTGATTCCCTTCTGATGTCTGAACTTCCCCTTGACTTCCAGGCAGGGCCTGGAAAGAAAGAGACCCTCTGTCCCAGCACAGCCTGGAAATTAACAAGCTGCCATCTCCAGCTGCAAGTCCAAAGCCAAAATGGGAAACTGAACTTCCTCTGGCCTCCACCACAAAGCTCCCAGCGCCGGGAGAGTGGTTTCTAAACATGGGCCTGGGTGCACATACTCAGGCAAGAAGGCAAGAGACCCCAGCACATTCAAGCGTGTGGATGTGTGTGCCCCCACAGCACACACACACCTCGGACGGTCCAAGTCAGCCCCCGTCTTGCCTCTCCTCTTCTCATCCGGAGGACAGTCCTGGGTGCTGAGCCACTCTGGGCACTTCAGACGAGGCCGAGGGATCTTGGGGGCCTTGAAGAGGTTGCTCTCTCTTCCCTTCCACCGGGAAACCCGTCCTCTGGCTGCAAATGGAGTGAAGAAGAATTCCTGCACAGACAGAAGGACGACGATGGAGAAGAGGAGGGACCATGTGCCAGGCACTCCCTCGCCTCATCCTCAAGAGGATGTAGGTATTTTCCTCATTTGGCACATAAAGCAACAGAGACACAGAAAGACTGAGAAACTTGTTTAGGATGAACCAGCTGTACATGTGTGATTAAAGGCAGAGAAGTAAGGGGAGTGGAGACTCACCTGCAGCCACGGAGACATTTAGAGATTCGAGTCCAGGAGGCAGCTGCCGGCCGGGCCGGATGCTAAGGAGAAGCTGGCAGGAGGCCTGCACCTCCCGGGACAGACCAGAGCCCTCGTTCCCTGCAGGGTACGGGGGCCAGAGTGTTAGGGGGGCCCCAGCTGTTCACACAGGCACTCAGAAAATGCACGTCTGAGCACAGAAAAGCAGGGGCATCCACCTACCCAGCACTAGAAGAGTAGGCCGGTCCCAGAGGAACTCCAAGCAATTAGTGATGGGGATCTCAGAAGACAGGGAGATCTCAGGCCCCGGGCAGCCCACCGTGCCAGCCACAAGCCAGCCCTGCCGGGCTTTGGCCTGAAACAGGGAAGAAGAAAGCATGCTCTAGCTCACCAAACCTTCATCAGAGCCCCGGCCTTGCCCATATATTCATTCCCTCGCTGAGCCACTAGATTCAGTCAGTAGTTATTAAGCACCTAGAACGGGCAGGTTCTGTTCTAGGCACTCGCATAAGGCAATGAACAAAACAGGCCCAAATCCCATTCTCGTAGAAGGGTGGTCAGGGAAGGCCTCACTGAAGTGACATTTGAATGCAGACCTGAAGGAGGTGAGGGAGCACCACGTAGACATCTGGGGGAGGAATATTCTAGGCAGAGATCAGTAAGTGCAAAGGCCCAGAGGCGGGTGCTTACCTGGCATGCATGAGGAACAGCAGAACAAGGTGGCCAGTGGAAAGGGAGCCACTGAGACAGGAGAGGAAACAAAGGGCCACGTGAGGTAGGACCTCAAAAGCCACTGGAAGGCCTTTGGCTTTTACTCTGAGAGATGCAAAGCCTTTGAAAGTTTTTTGAGCAGAGAACTAGTAACATGGTCTGACTTATGTCTCTACAGAATCACTCTGCCTGTGTTGAGAGCCACTAGCAGAAACAAGCAGACCAGTTAGGTTTCTGCAATGATACAGGCTGGAGATGATGGTGGCTTGGACCAGAGTGGTAACAGTGGAGATGGTGAGAAATGGTGAGAATGTGGAAATAACATCAAGGTAAAAACAAAAGGATATGCCAACAGGTGGGACATGGTGAGAGTAGGAAGAATCAAGGAGGGTGCCAAGGTTTTGGGGCGTAAACAACTGAAGGCATGGAGGAGTTGCCATCAATTGAGCTGGGTAAGTCTGCAAAAGGAACAGGAACATTTGGAAATCTTGTTTGAAATGACCATAAGACAGAAAAAAAGAGCTGTTGAGCAGGCAACTACATATGTAAATCCGAGGTTCAGGAGCAAGATCCAGGAGGGATACAAGTTTGGGAGGCATTCGAATATAGATGGCATTTAAAGCCATCAGATTGGATGCGGCCAACAAGAAATGAATATATACAGAAAAGAGATCCAAGGACTGTGACTTGGGAGCCCTGGGAGAGGATGGTCAGGGAAGCTGCTAAATACAGGGCAGTACTGCTCCCTTGTGTCCAGCAAGGGAAGCACAGCTGAAGAAAAATGTGTATGGACCAGGAGAGGGGTTTTATTAATACTTAGGTTTGCCCCTTCCTTCTTAGGTATTGAAGTGGTTTTTTTGGTGGTGGTGGTGGTTTTGAGGGTTTCTTTTGTTGCTTTGTTTCTTCGCTTGTGGGAAGGACGAGGGGAAGGGCATAGACTAGTCCCTGTTCAGGTTGCCTTTCAAGCCGCGCCCCTCCTGGAGGAACCAGGAGCCATCTGTTCCTCACAGTTGAGCATTTACTGAATACCTGCTTACTGGGCAGTGAGGCACTGCGTAAACCCGCAGGAGGCGCAAAGACGTACGCCTCGGAAGGGAGTGCAGTAAAAGTCCCTAACATCAGATTCTGCTCCGTGCGTGTGTGCTTTCCTTTTTTTTGGCCGCGCCGCGGGGCGTGTGGGATCTTAGATTCCGACCGCGGATGGAACCCGCCCCCCCTGAATTTGAAGCGCGGAGTCTTAACCACTGGACTGCCAGGGAAGTCCTACCATGTGTGGTTTTTAAAACTCCGGATCTTTCTCTTCCTAAAGGGATTTAGAAGGATGTAGGAAGCGATACCAACACGCCCTCTTCTCTCCCTTTCGTCCATCAGCTGCTAGCTGGGGGCCCTTGGAGAGACTTAACTTGGCTCATTTCTTCTCCTTTACTGACACCCCGCCTCCCCTCCTTCTCCGCGCCATTACCTGTAAAAAACCGGCCAGGTCATCAGTGGAGAACACGTCCATCACCTCCATAGCCCCGGCGCTGGCCTTGCTGACTACAGGACTGAGCGGGCAGCTGCAAGGTTTCCCCATGCCACCGTATGAGGCTGGGTGATCTCAAGCCCGGTGCCGTGCCCTCCCCCCAGCCCCTAAGAGTTAGGGGTGAGAATTTTGGCGTTGGGGAGGCCTGGCTGAGGGACCACCCAAGGGTCAAGGTGCTTAGGAACTCGGCTGCGCCTCCAAATTGGGGCACACGGGGAATAAGGGGAGGCCATGCCTGTTTCTCCGACTGGTGATGACTTTATCCACTCCGAGAAAGTGAGCGGAGCGCAGCACGGCCCCAAGATTCCGGGGATCCTGTAGCCCCTCGAGGACGAGCCACAGCTGCTGGGGGTCGTCTCCTGGCCGAGCCTCCCCGGCCTCAGCCCAGGGCCGGGGCCGCAGCGGGCTCACTTCCATGCAGACGCCCTGGTGGACCTGGTAGCGGCACAGGACGTCCAGCTTCCGCCGACTGGGCCGCAGAACCGGGATGTCCCGCGCCTCAGCCGCGCGCAGCAGCTCGGCCCGCTCCCCCTGCAGCCTAGACCTACCGGCCTGGAGCAGGAGCCGGGCCACGCGGCGGCGGGCGGCCCGCAGAGCCAGGAGACACGGGGACAAGCCAAACAGAAGCTCCAGCCCCCCGGCCGGCCGCGGAGTCGGCGCCAGGTCATCCAGGAGCAGGCGGCTTAGCTCCTCCCCGCCAGGCCGCTCCCCACGCCCCGACGCTTGGGAGAAAGGACGCGTGAGGAGGCGACCGCAGCAATGCCAGGTCGCGCCCCCGACGGCCGAGAGCAGTGCCATGGTCGATGCCCCAGCTGCGTCCTCAGGAGTGGTCAACCCCGCCGGGGCCCGCTCTCAGGCCCCGAAAGCGGGTGAAGGGGACCCGAAGGCTGCTCCCGGCCCACCCCCTCAGATACAGGAAAGGCCAGGATTCCCAGTCGTGTGCTGGCCAGAACCCGGCCGCGGAACCTAGACAGGCCCCTCCCGGCCCCGACGTGAGCCACTCTGCTTCCGCGTTCGGACGGCCCCGCCCCCGGCCTGGAGCCGCACGGCGCATGCCCACAGCGCCCTCTGCAGGGCCGGCTGAGCGACGACTTCCACCGCTCAGTCACTGGCCCGAGGGGTGCTCGCCGGGGAGCTGACCCTACTGTGGGCTGCGTTCTGCACCCTTCAAGGTCCCAGGAGGCTGGAGGACCTCACTTACCCTGGTACCAGCAAAGGACACTTTAAGGGGATGTACTGGCTTTCCTATTCAACCTGGTTAGTCGTGGTGACTCCCTCCCCACATCCGGTCCTCCACCGGGCGCTGGTGACTTTCCTCAGAAGATTCTCCCACATCCAGCCCCTCCTCTACACCTCCATTGCCTGTCAAACCATCGGCACCAGTCAGCAGGACCCCACCAATAACTTGCTGTGCCATGGTGCTGATTCTCTAAGTGACAGCTCTGTGCCTGACCTGCACCTGCTGACAAACCAACCGATGCCCTTGGCCCACAGGTAATGGCCAGACTCCTTGCTCAGACCTCCGGGGGATCCAGGCAAGGAGCTACCTTTTCAACCCCACCTCACTCCTGCACTAAGTTCTGTGCTGTTCCCACAACACCGCATGCTCTTCCGGGCCTCCCCGCCTTGCAAGCCCTGTTGTCTTCTTTTCTGGCAGGCAAACTCCTACCCATTTTCAAGACCCAGCTCAAAGGTAATGCACACTCCAGGAGTGATGCCCCCAATCCATCCACCTTCCCACTCTCCTGGAAGAAACTCTGAGACACAACCATTCCTGATCACAGCAAGGGGGAAGACCTGAAAGACACTTCTGAAGCCAAGGCAGGTTTTCGTAGTTTTTCTTTTTTAATGATCACAGTGAAACCCACATGGGAGGCAGGCCCTGGTACTCTGCTGCCATAGAGTGGAGTGAGGACCCCACCGGGGGCTGAGAAGCCACAGTGGGGCTGGAGAACTGGGACGGGGAATAGATGGGGTGGGGGGTGGGATGCAGGGAAAGGAGGAAGCCCAGAGCCCCGAAATCCATTCAGATGGAAGGTGAGGGCTTCCCTCTGCCGCCTCATCCTGAAGGGACGGGGGTGGGGTGCAAGAAGATAGGGGAAAGCCCCACTTTTGGCCACAGCCCCTTTCCCAGGTCAAAGGGAAGAGACCAAGGACAGCAAACAAAGGCCAAGGAGCCCAAGAAGGAGACCAAGAATGAATCAGTAGGGAAAACAAACACCTCCTCTCCCCTGCCCATTTTTCAAATTCGGTGGAAACAATTTGACAAGATTATATGAAATCTCAAACAAGTTTTCTAGCCCCTGCTGGGGGTGGGGAAAGGAAGTGGAATCCAAGGGTCCAGAAATCAACACCCCAAATCCAGAGGCAGGTGCCAAGCCTTGAGGGGCAGGGAGGGAAGGAGGAGCTCCCCACAGGAAACTAGGTCACCTGCTCCGTGGGCCTCATCTGGATGTCTCCGATCTGCAGAAGGCACAAGGCTTGAGGCAGCCAGGACCCTCTCCCCACCCCCTTAAAGCCTCCCTGCTCTTCTCCTCTGGGGACGGTCGGGCTCCTCTGGGGGATGGACATCCAAGGCCAGACTCACCTGGACATGTGGCGGGGTGCTGAGGACATAGATGACAGCCTTGGCCACATCCTCAGGTTTGAGACACTGAGAGCACCAGGGGAAAGGGGTGAGATGAGGGCAGGATGGATCCAAGTCCCCTCCCACCACTGAGGTCCTCTCCAGCACCGCCATTCCCACCCCCACCCTGCAGGAGGGGCGACAGGCTGGCTAGAACAGCGAGGTCTAAAGGCCAGGGTTCCCTCTGCCTTCATTTAGGAAGTGAATGGCTTCACTGGGCCCCACCTTCATGTGTTCATAGGTGGCAGCTGCCTTCTCAGGGTCCTTGTCATGGAGTTTGAAGGCGAATTGTGTCTCCACCACTCCTGGAGAGATGCACTGGGCCAACAGAGACAGCCTGCTCAGGAGCTGAGCCCCAGGCCTTGGGGAGGTTGCAGAGAAAGGATGGAAGCCAAAGGGCCCCAGCTTCACAGTGATGGCTGCCCGATGTCCAGCAGCCACCTCCTCCCTCCAAAGCTGCCACTGGGGATTATCAGAATGATTCCTACCAGCTACAGAGCCATTACTATAAGCCAGGTCAGTTTTACAAAGTGGTGTCCCTTAAAACCTCATAACCTGAGAGGTATTATCATCTCCATTTTACAGATGAGAAGACTGAGGTTTGGGGAGGTTGAGCGAGTCACCCAAGGTCATACAGCCTTCAAGGGAAGAGCCCAGAGTCCCCCTTTCCAGCCGTGGTTTCCCACAATCCCTTGCTTTCCCTCAGTCTCACCCCACCATGTTCCCTTCAGGTCACCCGCCTCCCACCTCAAAGTCTGAGAAATGCGGGAACTCAGGTACTCAGCAGGGCCATGCAAGTAGCCACAGAGCCCAGTAGATGTGGGCCCAGTACAGACCCGGGAGCTCTAAGCAGTACAGCCAGGACATGGGCCCCCGGGCCGCGAGTGTGTGGGGTGAGCGGGCCTGTGCCTCTCAACCCCCACCAGGGCCAGGCCACCCCTCACCGTGGCTCGGATGTGGGTCTGGGCCTCCCGAAGCTCTTGCCTCAGCCCCTCTGTCAGCGCAGTGACGGCATACTTGGTAGCACTGTAGAAATGGGCCACGGACTGGGGTGGCACTTGGTGGCCAGACATGCTGGGTGGGAGGAAGGAAGGGGAAAGGAGAGAGTGAAGCAGTGCCCCCTGCTGTACCAGCCAACCCCACCCCCTGGACGCCTTCTAAGCGGGACCTCCAGAGGCCATCCTCAGGGCCACTGGCCCAGCTCCTGTAATTCAAGCAGCATCTGTGAGCCCCACTCTTCCTAGAAGTCCTCCCTACGCCGACCACAGCATTCACCCTCCAGTCCACGCAGGTTGTCAAAACACGATTTCATCTGTGTGTTCTCTGATGTGGTTCTATTGGGAGATCTGTGGGACAGAGGCCACGTCTCCAGGGACTCCCCAGTGACAGAGACTGTGCAGTCTTTGTGCCACGAGGTGAGGTTCATGCTGCAGCCTGAGGAATGGAGAACCTCAGTCCCAGGAGAGCCCCCAGGCTTCAGCTGCAAAGGGGCTGAGCTACCCCTTCCAGCCAACTAGGGGCTGGCATTTGACACATACTATTCTTCCCCTCACCACAGTCGTGCCATTTGGATATTAACTGGGTGTTAAATCCCTGTTCTACCACCCAGGAAACTGAGGTCCAAGAGGTCAAATGAGCCGCAGCAGATCACCCAGCTTGGAGGGTGCGTGGTGATCTGAACTCTAGCCCTCGGCCACCGGCCTCACCTGTTGATGTTAATGATGTGCCCATCATCCACCTTCCGCTCCCTCATGGACTGGTAGGCTTCCCGTGTGCAGATGCTGAGGGCCAGCACGTTCACCTGCAGGCCAGAGGGGCAATGGGGTGTCTCCAGCTTGGGCCCATCTGAGCAGGTGATGGAGCCACAGAGCACCCTGCGGTTGCGGGGGCAGGTGGCATCCAAAACAGAGTCCAGATCCTACCAGAGACCAATGAAGGGGACAGGGCACCTGGCTTTAGGTTCCTCCCCCTCAAGTCACCAGCCCCACCTGACAGCAGAGGAAGCACCTCTCCCTGGACGATGCTCCCCAAACGCACTCACGACCCAAGAACCCTCCCTGTCTTGGCCGTCTCCTGTGCAAACAGCGGGACCTCTACCTTAGGGAATCATCTCCTTTCTTCTCCAAATGCCCTACTCTTCACTGGCTCGCCTCTCTCCTAAACAGCCTAAAATCCATCCAAAAAAGACTTTAAAAATCTCTCTCCTCAGGACAGATCTTAGCCTCTCCCCACCTTACCCACTAGTCTCTGGGCCTTTCCTGTCCCTCCCCTGAGACTACAGTGGAGAGGAGAAGGCCTGATCCTCCTTCATTCCACGCCTTCCTTTAACCTCTGTTCCATCTGTAAGACTAGGCACAGAGACTCTTCAGAGCGTGGGGTAACTTGTCACAGGATGGCAAGGGACGTCCCAAGGGCATGGGGGCTTCCTGCCTTCCTTGGCCCCCTCCCACTCCTGCTCCTCTGGCAGAGGTGACCCCAGATCCCTGCCCTTCCTGGAGCAGAGGCCTGAAGAAGTGTCGCTGCTCTAAAGCTCCTGCCCAGCCCCACCCCTTTAGCCTCACCCACGAGGACAAGCTGCGATAAAGCTTTCAGCAGGTCTTCGCTCTCTCCTCTGGGGAAGAGAGGAGACCAGCCGGGAGATTAGATGTTTCTCTTTATCGGGTGTCAGAGCCAGGCATCAGGACAAATACTTCGGTGTAAACCTGCCCCAGCATTCACGGCAGGACATAAGAGGTTTCCAGCCCTGCTTCTGGTCCTCTTAACAATGTGGGTTTCTGGGGCAGAGAACTGAGCTCCTGAGGACGGATGGATGGAGTAAGAGAAACAGATCCCCGTGGGCCAGGGGAGTGGATTCTCCTAGGTACAGGGGTCAGGGGTTCCCTGTGTGTTCAATGATGTGGTTCTATTGGGAGATGCCTCATAAGACGATCCTAAGAGAATTACATAGTGTTCAAGCTGAAAGGGGTCTCAGGGATTTAATATATGTGCCTCGCTTTACAGATGGGTAAGCTGAGGCCCAGGTTTAAAGACTCCCTTACTGCAGGTGACGACCGCAACTCGGATCTCCCAGAAGGCTCTCTGAGGGCAAAGGCAGTGCTTCATCTCCCGTTTATTGTTTCAACTTCCATTGCATATTTCTGGGCCCAAGCCCCTGCTAGGTGCTAAATCTATTGTGAGCACATGTGAAAAGGATTGTGAGGGGAAAGAAGCATCCCATTTACACAACGCTTTCGAAGTCTCAGAATATTTTCATACCCCAATATCGCCTCACAATACAGTCTAGAAGTTGAAAACCCACGTCCTGAAGGCTGTGTTTGGTCCACACATGGTTTTGAAACATTTTAAAATTCACTTCCAATATGTATTGGAAGGTTTCATATATTCAAAAATTACCTGTGGAGTGTTTGCAGGCTGAGGCTATGACAGAGAGTACAATAGACAAAACTCCTTGCCCTCCTGGAGCTGAGGTTTGGGTGAATGGGAGGGGTGAGGTTCCACATGAAAATCTAGGTCCCCTCTGCTCTCAGAGAAGTCACAGGATCTGCCCGCACTGCCCAGACTGCAGTGCAGCCACCCCCAGACATCCATGTGCTTTCCCATATGACCCGCCTCCCTCCTTTATGGACCTACCCAGCCCCAGGGGACACTGGAGTTTGTGACCCCGGATATTGATGGTCTAGGTGTGTTTCATCCCAATTAAATGCGACAAGACTGAAGCTCAGACAGCGTAACTACCTGCCTGAAGCCACATAGTTACTGGCGGGGCTGAGTGAGATCATCATCTTCTTCATCTCCTGTCTCTCGGTTCCTTTTCTTCCCATAAGACCATGGTCCCAAGCACTCAGCACAGTGCTGACACTTGGGGACGTTCAACCCAGCAGTTCTCTCCCCTATCCATATCTCTTCCAATAGAAAGAAATCAGCCTAGACTTTAAGAACTGCCCCCAGGGGCTCAAAGGAAAGAAGAATGAAAAAGATATGGCCATTCATCCACTCTCTCTCCTTCAGGGGAGGAGAAGCAGGGGAGAGTGCCCCAGGTAGGAAACTGAAGGCCCCTCTCAGTAGATGTCTATCCCCAGCAGCCCCCTGGCTCCTGGCTCCCCGCTCTTCTCCCAGCCTCTCCCCCATCCCTGTCATCCCCAGCCACAGGCCTGCAGCCCTTACATTGAACATGTCCTTCCAACCGCTGGTGCTGCCTGAGAGCAGGGTGTCAGGCCGGGCCAAGCCAGCGTTGTTGATACAGATGTCCACACCACTGTGCTGAGAGCGGACCGCCGAGAACATGGAGAGGATGTCCTCCTCATTTGACAGGTCACATCTGTAGGGCATCAAAGTCCCGGGGTAGCCTGCACTCTTACATTCGGCAGCCAGCTCCTATGAAACCCAACAGGGGTCTAACTGAGGTGAGCCGCTCACTCCACGCCTCCCCACCCGGAGATAACCTCCCACCGGTGTCACTGCTCACAGAACTCTCGCCTTTGGTGGCCAACTTGCAGCCACAGAGATGTTGGGACTGCCCATCCCCAAAGCGTGTCCTCTTTGGTCAAAGTCCCGGGGGTGGGGGGTGGTGAGAGCTCTCCCTGAGGGAGGGAGGGGAGGCTGAGACCATCCATGGAGGAACCTGAGGGATAAACTCGAGTCTTCAGGTCTAAAAGGGGAGAAGGGCTGAGGCTGTGAGTGTGTCAGGGAAGGGGCCCAGGGATCCTGGGAATGGAGTGATATCTCTTTTCTGACTCTCTCCCAATAGGAACACACCTCCGCTCATAGGGGAGATGCAAGCCTCCCCTATGTCCCTCTCCGGACTCAACCCCCTGCTGCTTCTGCCAGTGCCAAGAGTCACTGAGCTGGTTACACCAGGGCCTCGATTCTCTTCTCTCCCATCACTCCATCCAGTCCCTCCCAGAAGGGCTTATATCTAAACTATCGCCCTCCCTCCACAAACTGCAGCCAGTTGGCTCAGAGTCCTCACACGTACTTTTCAGTTGAGCCCAACTGCCAGTCTCCCCTCATTCCGTCTATAGAAAGGGTCAGGAAGTCGGGACGGATTCTTTCTCTCTGACCCACGGTGCACCACCTTCCACCCCAAAGTTTCTCTGGATACCATGAGCCAAGCCTGGTGGCAGGTGACATTGGGTACCCCTGTGCATTGCCAGGGTCCTCAAGACACTGAGGATCCCTGAGAGAGAAAGATCTGAGAAAGACGGGCCATTGAGAGATGGCTATGAGGGAAGCTGCCATTCAGAAGCAGGAAGAATCAGGAAGAAAACAAGCTATGTGGTAGCCTTGGAGGCCAGTGACCGGGCACCCGAGCCTCGTGAAGGTGACTATGTACATGTGTGGGAGGGAGAGGGTTGGCGGGTGCAGGGTGCCCTAGAGGAAGGCCGGCTTGGCCAGCCGCCCTGGAACACCTTCCTTCCCCCAGACCAAGCTGAGAGTAAAGGGTCGGGTCAGGTGACATAGGAAATTCTTTTCTGCTTTAACTTGCCAAGAGCTTAAGAGGTACAGTCCTCAGGGACCCAGAAGTCCCCTTTCACCTGATTTCACCTACTCAAGACCACCTCACGAAATAGGGCTGCTCACTGTAGGAGGCCAGAGCTCAAATTTTGTTTTAGTATCGACGACTGAGTGAATCAACCAGCCAAAGCAGCCTGGAATTCTCCCCTCCGCTGGCATTCAACTTCTCCCTTCCTCCTCCGGACTCAAAGCCCTGCAGGAAAGCCAGAATGGAGGGACTCCCTGTCACTGCCTTCTATGCTCTACCTGTCCTCATCTATCCTCAAAAATGACCCGAAATCATGTCAGTCCCGTCACAGCAGAACCATTCTTCCCTCATTAAAGGAGATACCCTGGGGCTGAGTGATCAGCCTGGGGATCTCCTTTGGGCTCAGGAACCCCTTTCCTGGCTGGTTTGGGGTCGGGAGGTGGTAGGAAGAGAAGGCAAGAGTGGCTTTAGAATTAGGGAATCAAGTGGTCTAATCCCTGGTCTGATCCTCTAGGCTCCAAAGTGCGGGCTGGGCCCTGAGCGCCTCAGGAAAGGAGAAAGGGAGGGGCAGAGTGGGGCAACAGTATAGCCAGGTGACCTTGGGACTATCTAGGAGGCTATAAAGTGCACCTTTGGTCAGCAGCAGGGCGGCGGGGTGGGGGTGGGGAACCGGGGGGAACCGTCCTCCTTCCGGTACACCTTCCCGCTCTGCCCCCACCCAAGGCCTCCTCACCCTCTCCCAGCCCAGGGACTTTGAGCAAGGGTGGAGAGAAAGCTAAGCACTAGCCCAATCCCTGAGAGGGGTCTTGCCAGGGGCAAATCCAAAGTGATCCTATGATGGAAATTGCTTGTATTCTTCCTCCCTGCTCCAACATAGCCAACTTCATTTCAGTTTTCTCTGAGCTCTTATCGCTCACAACTCTTGGGGCTCCCAACCCATGTTAAGACAAAAACCAGGAGGTTCAGTTCCACAATGCTTTGTCCCCCAGGGCTCACATGTTCAATGCCCTATTTCACCTAGTCAGTCCCACCTGGGACAGTGAGATTGCAGAAAGGTCTACCTATATATCCCATTTGTCCCTTATGTCCATCGGGTAGGGGCTAACCCTCACATTTCGGGGGAAGATGGAGCTGAGCCTCTTCGGAAAAGTTCCACTCCCACCCCAACCCCACTCGCAGTCCTGGGTGAAAATGATCATGATCAAAACCTGCTCACTTTGCTTGGCTTTGCGGGCTACGTCTGGGGACCAGAGGAAGCAATCCAGTAGCCAACTTAGCCACTGAGGCGGGAAAGCTTTCTTTCCTTCTCCCTGGCTTAGCCCCAGATCTCTGGCTTCTCCTTCCTCAGCCAACCCGGGCATGCAGGTCGGAGAGAAGGAGAAAGATGCCAGTGAGTCAGAGATTTGGTATACTGGAGTAGAGGCTGTCAGGAAAAAAGGCTCCTTAAAAGACTGGACTTTGAAAAGCGAAGGTGGAGTCCTGCCCTGAGGGGTCCAAAAGCACCTAGGTCCCCTCCACCTAGGCATCCGTCTCTCTTGCCCCTGAGCCTGCTGCAAGTGACCCTGGGGTGGCGGGCAAGTGAGGGCAGCGTGACAGCTTGGCTCCGACCACTCCCCATCCCCCACCTGGACCCTAGCGCGGCCTAAACGACGCCACCCAGAGCGACCCTTTCCCCAGCAGGGCCTTACCTCGATGTTGCTCACGGTGCGGGCACAACCCACTACCTTCAGTCCCTGCTGGACCAGGGCTCGGGCCACAGCCGCGCCGACGCCCCCCGAGGCTCCCGTCACCAGTGCCAGCCGGTCACGCCACCGCTCCATGCCGGCCCTGGCCAGGGTCCCGAGCCGCCCGCCCACCTCTCTTGGGGAGCCGAGCACTTGGATCGCAGAGCTCCGCCCCGGGTCGTAGGGACCCGGCCACTCTCTTGTCACCACCGCGGCAACCGCCCCCGACCTGCCCCAGTAACAGCTGCGCCTGGACCTGCCTCCACTCTGGCCTGCCTCCGCCCCCGGCTCCACCCTCCGCTGCTCCGCAGTTGCCAGAGGACCAACAGCGGCCTGGCCACCCCGCCCCCTGCGCGTGCATTGAGGGCACGACCCCGCCCCCTCCGGCCCCGCCCAGTCTGCGCCGGGAGGAAACCGCTCTTCGCGGGACAGGGCCGGAGGGTGCTGGGAGCTCGCGGTCCTGCTTTCCTGGTGAGCTCCTACCCTCCGGGGAGGAAAACGAAGTTTCGCGGGGGCTTGCACGAGGCCCGAGAACGCACGTACTCCTGCCTCCTGCTCGGTCTGCCTTCCCTGTTCCTGACCCCTAAGGCCAGGAAGAGAAATTAAGGGCACTTAAGGTGACTCCAACGCCTTCCTAAACCAGCCGGTGGCTGATGGGAAGGATTCAGCTCAGAAAGGGCTGAGTGTCTCAGCCATAAACGCTGGGTGACCTTGGGAGGGGCTTTCAACTCTACCTGACCCCTTGGCCTTACTAACCAAGGAGAACTGATGGTTAAAAATCCAAAGACCCCCAAGTACACGGGTATTGGGGGGGTTGTGTCCCTAATGGCCTACAGTCTACAACTTTCCTAAGCCTTCCCACTCCCATTGGAGCAAATGTATCACTGTGTATGTAAGAGATTAAAGCAATAGCTAACATTTATTGAGCGCTTACTGTGTGACAGGCACTTTTATAAGCACTTTAAATATATTAATATGACCAAGAGCCATATGAGACAGTACCTATTAACACTTTCATTCTATAGACTATACTGAGACAAATGTGAAGCCTGGCTTGGATGGCAAGCAGTCCAGTATTAGGCCAGGGGATGTGCTCCTAAACTGCCTTCACTCCACTCTCCTTTGTCTCTTCTTAGGTTGTTGGTTCTGTCCAAAGTAGAACTCACTTTTCTGACCACTAAGGATATTCCATCAAAGCATGAAAACTGCTTCACTTCTGCATTCTTTATATAGCCATCCTTCCAAAGAGAAAACATCTCTGCATAACTACTGGAATCCTGCTACTGCAAGCAACGGAATAATCAGTGAACGTGGCTGGTTTATTCATTCAACAAGCACTCCTGTGTTTGGCCCCAGAGGCAAAGATTAAAACAAAATAAAACCAGCCCTTGCTTAATTTAGGGATCTCAAGAGAACCTGACTGCGACAGGGTGGTGGAGAGGGGTTTGGGCTCAGAGCCAAGGGCTGTGGGAGACCCTTAGTCATTTTTTATGGATTCCAGGATGAAAGCAAACAAGAGTCAGAAAGAAATGACTCACTTTATCTGCCCCGATCCCTATACAACACTTTGATTTGAAAAGACAACTCAGGGGTGGATCAAAAAAATGCCACCAACTACAAAAGTTAAATCTCACTAAGCTCCTGCTGTTGCCCATTTGAAATCTGATTAGTAGTCTGATTAAGTGGTAGAAAGCCTATAAAATTCACTCCATCCCCACCGCACAGAGGTATTGGCCGTCCCACTATTTGTCTGCTGCCCACCAAGTATCAACCTGTAGACACAAAACTCTAAGCACATGAGTTTACTGAATTATTGACTCAACCTTTTAAATGGCAGCCAAATGCTACTCCTAGGGGAATCTCTCCTCCTTTAGTACTCACAGACAGCTTGTGAAAGCAGTAAACTGTAATGCCACAGTGACCTTATTGTTGGAAACCAGATAAGGAACAGGCACTTATACAGACTGCAGTGTGGTTAGCCCTCAGTGCTCTCAGTTCTCTACATGCTGAGTAATTACTTATCAGCAAACCTTTGGTTGAAATTCTGCCAAGTTTTGTTCTCATTCTTCTAGTTCAATATGAACCTCTGAATTTAAGGTGCTTTGTGTTATGTATCAGGGAACTTTATTAATAACAGCAATTAAAAGTCTCATGAGGAAGTAAGATGCTAGCCAGTATTTAAAGGTATCGCAGCAAACTTATTCTTTCAAAGCAGAAGCCTGGAAACTGCTTTTCTCGGCTGTCAACTCTGATGAAGGGAAGAATTTGTCTTCAGCAATCTGTCTCTCTCTCCTCATTTGCTCCTCATCCTCTCTAACATCAACACTGGCCAAGTACCAAGACCACAGGTGGCAAATTAAAATACTGCCACACATTAAGCAGAAACATGTACACCGAATTTTACTATGCGTATTAATAAATATTCTTTATTTTAAATTTTGCACATTGCGCTTTAACATTACATCCAAACATTTCGCAAGTGGATGTCTACTTTGTAAAACCATATATTCAGCTCATTGTCATTTCTGTACAGAAGTATAAGTACAACATTACTTTTTGCCACTAAGTTGCTTTTTAGTAAGTCTCACAGGAAGAGAAACATTTAATGAAAAGGGATGGCTTAAATCATACGGCAGGCCTGCGCAGCCACACAACTAAAGACACAAGCCTGAAGAAAGAACAAACTAAGGAGGTTACCTCCACCGTCTCCCAAAACAAGAAAGAATCACATTGATTTAAGATAAAATTTTGCCATAAGTCACTAAGAGTTTTTTTTGAAAGAGAAGGCGCAGTAGTCATCTTGAGTGTTTCATTGAAAGACAGAGCTATTTTATTTATTTAATTTGCTCCAGCTGTTGTCAACCAACCACTACAAATGGGGCTCTTGTGATCATTTAAGCGGCAGTATTTATTAAATTTCTCCTTCAGATGCTGTCGGTATTGTTCTCTATTGCTGTAGAAAGACTGGTTATTAGCCATAAATGACTGTATTTCATCTTGTGAGATAAAGATTTCCTCATCTGAAGTACATTCAGACTCGTCCTGCAAATTAAAGCAGTAGTTAAGACTATGACTTAAATTAAGAATGCAAAATGCTATGGTGATGGAGGACAGAGAAAAATTAAAGCAGTCTAACCTTTAGTTTAATTGGAATGTTTACAGGATAAGCATAATGTCATTCTGTCTTAGAAAGTACTAAGTAAGAATAAAAGGCAACTCAACTTGGTTTAAAACTCTGGATCTGTAATTTGTCCTAGAAGCCTACAAGCAGACTCCCAACACACTTCAGCCTTCAAAAGTGATTAGGGATGGTTACAAATAGCTACCAAACTTTAAATAACCTGACTTATCTCTGGCTGGTTCTATGTTGAAACTTTTATCTCTACACATTAAGTAAAATATAACCTTTTTTAAACTTATGAAATACATAGCATCACCATTAAACTTTACAACCATATAAAAAAGAAGAAACCTAATATTCTAAAGGATTTGGTTCCCTTGGGATCCCATAATGACTACAGAAAAGATACCACCCTTCTCCTTCTTTGCCCCTCCTCCAAGTCCCACACAAACTATGCACTGGGTCACTTGCAATCAGGTATAATTCATCTAAAGTATCAAGGATTGGAGTCAGTAATAAAAGATTTTCCAGGTTCAGTTATATGCTTTTATCCTACATGACACCTAAAGGAAGTAACCTAGAAAGTGGGCTCTAGTTCAGATTCTATATTCTTTCCTGGTCTGGAAGGGTAGCTACCATAAATTGCCACTCAGAAAGGCAGTTTGCTTATAATAACCCTCGTCAAGGAGTCAGACTCCTGGACATAATGCTAACTCTATCCCCGTCTCCCAAGTAATCTTTTCTACCTCTGAGACAAAGGAAGACGAGGAAATGTGCTCCAGAGTAGTTAAGTGGTAGAGCAGGAATGAAGTCACCAAAAAATAATGAAATACTGCCCTTAACTGCCTAAAAGCCTCCTCCCATTCCCAACGTTAAACCCTCAAATACGTTCCCTCCCACATCTACCCCGTGAACAATCAGTTACCCACAAAAAGATGATCATGGCTTACTTACAAGGAGTTCAACTAAGCTCTTGGCACCTTTTCCGGAATCAGGACCAAACGACGTTTCTGTATGTTCTGCAAACTGTGGTACATTTTTCCTATGCTCAAACCAAGGCAGTGGCTGCCCACCCTTTTCAGAGGTACAACAGCTTTCAGGATGTGTATCTTTGGTCTTGTCACGGTGAAACACTGTGTGCACGGTATTTCCTGAGGCCTCTCGATTGCCTGGATCTGTAATACAGCTTCCAAGCTTTTGGATCTGAAACCACAGCAAAAGGACTTCTCAGGTAAAAAGGCAGGGAATAATAGCAATTACTATTTTTTAAAGAAAAAAAATACCCTGAGAGTGTGTTAAGATTTTAGCAGGAATACTGAATAACAGCAACAGCTGGCAGTTACCAGGCATTTACTGCACACCAAACACTATGCTAACCCACCAATATAATTTCACTTCATCTTCACAGAACCTAACCTGACAGGGACTATTATCTACATTTCACAGATGGGAAAACAGATCAAGCAAACTGCTCAAGATTACAGAGCTAAGGGGCTTCCCTGATGGCGCAGTGGTTAAGAATCCGCCTGCCAGTGGAGGGACACGGGTTTGAGCCCTGGTCCGGGAAGATCCCACATGCCACGGGGCAACTAAGACTGTGTGCCACAACTACTGAGCCTGCGCTCTAGAGCCCGTGAACCACAGCTACTGAAGCCCACGCACGCAGACCCCGTGGTCAGCAACAAAGAGAAGCCACCACAATGAGAAGCCCGCGCAGTGCAACAAGGAGTAGCCCCCGCTCACCGCAACTAGAGAAAGCCCGCGCATAGCAACGAAGAGCCAATGCAGCCAAAAATAAATAAATAAATCAATCTATTTTAAAAAAAAGATTACAGAGCTAAAAGATTAAAAACTATTATGAAAAGAATGAATTGGATTTATGACTCACATCGACTGTTGGACAAATGACCACATCAGACATACACATGCATATAAATTCACAAGATGAGCAACCAATGGAACTGCATAGGTACTCATTCTTAAAAAAAAAAAAAAAAATCCTAGCAGCTAAGCTGCACACTTGCCACTCCAAGGAAAAGAACAAAGGTTTAAGGATTCCAGGTTATGACACTTACATGTTCATCACATTTCAACATCTTGCTTTTCTTTTTCTTCTTTTTATTTTTTCCTTTGGTGGTGTTCTCTTCAGAATTTGCCCAACATTCAACACAACTATCGCCATCATCCTCTTTATCTTCACAGTGATGAACACAGGAGTCATCACCTGCAGAAATCAATAATCTCTTATTTGGGTGTTTAAATCAGCCATGTAGCAGAAATAATTGGGAGGCTTAATCTGAACCTACCGTGTTCATCATGATTACAAATGCCTTCAGTGCAGGCAACGTCCGAACCCTCCCGAGAACCAGTTTCACTCCCTTCCATGCTAGATGAATATCCACAATCACTACCATTACAGTGTGGCGATAAGCCTGAGTATAAATCAAGTGAGAGTTACAATTAACATGCCAATAAATATATTAAGACAAAGAATGAACCAACTGGGGACCACAGAAAAATTTCAAAATTGATGGCTTACTGAAAGTAAAAAGTGCATTAAATAATGAAAATATGATTGGAGCTTTACAATTTTTGATTTTGTTATTATTTAACAAATCAAACACCATAAAGAAAAAGGAAATACTAAATGTCTGACTAAATTTTATGATATTCTTAGGGCTGTAAAGCAGTTCCTAAGTTCTAGGTTACAGGATCTCTAAAAGCTCTTATATTTAAAAAAAAAAAAAAAGAATAAGGAGTTAATTTTTTAAAACTATTTACTTACCTTTCTTTATTTTAGGAGACCCCAAAAGATTGCCACTGCTAGGACAGGTACATGATGTATTTTCATTGGTAACAATTACTTCTACACAACTATTACCATCTTCAGTGCTGCCACAGGCTTTGCAGCTGTTTTCTATGAAGTCTGTTTCCTTTAAGGATCAATATTAAGAGATAGTAAAAAGCTTTACCTCCATAATGGCTATATTTTAATTTTCTTAACCTAAGATAGGAGTTACAAGGTTAAAAATTGAAAAAAATTATTCTCATGAAAAATCACTAATTCATTTCAAGACCAAGAACCAACAAAAGTAAGTTAAAGACTTAATGGTATCAGGGAAGTCTAGGAGAGCTATTCTCAAAGTGCAGTCTGCTAACCCCAGGTCAAAACCATTCCCTAGGTCAAAACCATTTTCATCATAACACTGAGATGTGATTTGCCTTTTTCATTGTCTTGACACTTACACTGATAATATAAAAGCAATGGTGGGAAAAGTTTCTTTAGCACAAACCAAGGCAGAGGCAACCAAGTATGTACTAACAGTCACCGTATTCTTCACTTGTCAAGCACTCTCATCAGGAAATAAATAGATAAAACGATATTTCACTTATGAATGTCTTTGATGAAGCAGTAAAAATGTGAATTTTATTAAATATGAACTCATGGCGTAGAGGTCTTTTTATTACTCTGTGATAAATGGGAAGAATGCTTAAAGCACTTTTGATGCATACCAATGTATAATAGTTGTCTCAAGTAAAAGTACTTGTGCAACTGTTTAAGTTGCAAGCTAAACTAGCTGCTTTTTCCTGGAACATCAATTTCACTTGAAAGAAAGAATAAGAGACAAATTATGGTTATTCAGACTTGGATATTTAAAAGACATTTTCTCAAAAATGAATGAAATCAGCCTATCTCTTCAAGGAAAAAAATGGACAGTCAATGATAAAATTCAAACTTTCAAACTACAATCAGAATTTTGAAAACTTGCATACACAAGCACAATGAGCTTGAAGCTTCCCAATACTTAAAAGACCTTTCTGATCAGATGAGTAGTGGTTTTAAGATGATTATATGATATTATATAATGAATGTCAATATCTGGAAAGATCTGCATAACTCAGTGAACCATTATCTTTCAAATGACCAATGCATGATGTTACAGAATAATGCATAAATAAAATCTATTCAAAGTGCCAAGACAGACCAATGGGTTTTAATTTAAAAGTATGAAAAGGTCACTGATAAGGTGTCATGTTCCACATTGCAACTAATCTTTAAGAAACTACCACCTGTCAAGTTATAATGCCAAAGAAGAATATCCACAACTATCTGAAAAGGTTTATATTAAAATACTCCTCCCTTTTCCTACTATATATATCTGGGTGAAATCAGACTTTCTTCAC